ATTCCTGCTCTGGTTCTCTGAAGGGGAAGAGCTGGGGTGGAGGTGGAGAATCCCTCCAGTTGGGACCGAGTTCCTGACCACTGAGAAAACCTGCCCAGGACCTCCCAGGAGACTGGCTGGACTGGTCCTTTGGGCTCTGCTCTCAGCACGGCCTTTCCTGATGGCCCTGCAGAGAGGGACCTCACCCTGAGCCAGACTCACTTATTCTCCTTCCCAGGAGCCCTGGTGTGAGCACAGAGGAGACAGTGAGAGAAAGCAAGAGAAAGAGGCTTGTGTCTTGCTGGCTCCTGACCCAGGAGAGAAGCTGATAAGGCCTTACTTATGGAGATGCCTCCTTTTTTCCATCAGTAACTTTAAAATATTTTTATTTAAATATCTCAAGCTCTTGAGGCTTGACACTTTGGAAAAGGAGGCCTTGCCCCAGGCTGTCGAATAGCAGTTACAGAGTAAACGAGTGACCATCTGGGGTGGGCAGGGGGTGTCTGTGAAATCAGATGTCAACTGGGGTCACCCTGTCATTTGAGATTCCCATAGAATTAGCCTAAAACCCTGCCCGGCATCCATAGGAGCCACTGCATGTGTCTGCGCATTCTGAGGAGAACCTGCTTTTTTCCTAATCACACACCTCTGGCTCCGAGTTCTTGCTTGGGCTGAATCAGCTTAGTAAACAGAGGTTCTCACCATCTCACCCTCACTGACGCTGTTCCCCACACTGGAGACTGGAGACCGGTAATGTTGAAATGAATAGCCCAGCCCTGGCTGCAGTTTGCATCACCTGGGGAGATTTTAAAATTCCCAATGCTGGGACTTCCCTGGTGGCGCAGTGGTTAAGAATTCGCCTGCCAATGCAGGGCACATGGGTTTGAGCCCTGGTCTAGGAAGATCCCACATGCCATGGAGCAACTAAGCCCATGCGCCACGACTACTGCACCAGCGCTCTAGAGCCTGCGAGCCACAACTACTGAGCCCGTGTGCCACAACTACTGAAGCCCGCGCACCTAGAGCCCATGCTCTGCAACAAGAGAAGCCACCGCAATGAGAAGCCTGCGCACTGCAGCGAAGAGTAGCCCCCACTCGCCGTAACTAGAGAAAGCCCGCACGCAGCAACGAAGACCCAATGCAGCCAAAACTAACTAACTAGATAAATTTGCTTAAAAAAAACCCCAAAACAAAGCTCCCAATGCCAAGGCCGCAACCCATGCTGATTACATCAGAATCTCTGGGGGTGTGGAACCCAGGCATCAGTATTTTTTTTTTTTAACATCTTTATTGGGGTATAATTGCTTTACAATGGTGTGTTAGTTTCTGCTTTATAACAGAGTGAGTCAGTTATACATATATATATGTTCCCATATCTCTTCCCTCTTTGTCTCCCTCCCTCCCACCCTCCCTATCCCACCCCTCCAGACAGCCAGGCATCAGTATTTTTAAAGCCTGTGTTGTGCAGCCAAAGTTGAGAAACAGTGCTTTCGAAGTTCAGACAGACCTGGCCCTGCCACTTATGGGCTCATGGACCTTGAATAAATTACCTAAGCTTTATGAGTCTCAAGTTTCTTCATCTCTAAAAGAGTTTGTATGAAGAGGCCATGAGTTAATCCTGATAAAGCCTGGTGCCTTGTAGAGACTAAGCACCTAATAAATGGAAGCTGTTAATATATTTTTTATAAGACAGTCTACTGCTGTTATTAATGGTGGATAAGAGCAATTTAACACCCTTAAAACCGCTAGCTTGGGAAACTGGTGCTCTGAATGGAGGAATAAGAGAAGATAAATTCTAGCCACAAATATTCATTGTGATTCTAACTCATGCTAAGCTTCGAGGGGACCCAGTGATGGTTTGATCTACGCTTTCCAGGGACTCACAAATCTAGTTGTGGGGAGAATAGATGTGTAGACAAAGAAGGAGGAAGTGAATTTTAACTTACGTTAGACAATGAATAGATTCAAACTCTGTGCTGGAATGGCCAGGAGAGTTTTCACTGAGAAGGATGTGGCTTTGAACTATGGGTAGGATGAGGGAGAGTGTCTCAGGGAGAGGAAATGGCTGAGTAGAGATTCAGTGGCTGGAATAAAGATGGGTGGACTGGTCTGAGTGAAGCAGAGGGTTTGTTATGGAAAGCCCTGGGGGATAAATGTAGAAAAGCAGGTTTGGGAAGAACTTGAATCCCAGGTGAAAGGCTGTGTACTTGATCCTATAGGTTCTTAAGGAGTGTGTGTGTGTGTGTGTGTGTGTGTGTGTGTGTGTGTGTGTGTGTGTGGTGTGATGGAATCCTCTGAGCATTCAACGAAAAGCTACGTATATGGTGTGGGAGATCAAGGATGGTAATGAATCACATCCCTCCCTTATGGGATCTGAACCAACAGAGAAATATACAAGTGAATCAGAATCAAAGTAGGAGCTCTGTTAATAATAAAGCTGTGTTGGAGAACATAGCATGGCCTTAAGGCAAAAATGGACTTCTTACTCCTTCCTCTAAAATTAGATGAATTTAGCCATCTAGTCACAAGCAGGAGAAGCCCTGACCTGGTTGCAGAAGCAGGAAGCAGAGAGAATATTTGCCACTTGTACAGAGAAATGTAGCAAGAGGTCAGGTCATTTATTTGCAGTACCTTGACATATTAATCTCTGACCAGAATTGGAACCAATGGAAATCAGGCCATCATAAAATGGTAAATTTATAATTTCAGAAATTTTATTGACTCTCTCGGAGTACATGGACCCCAGAATAAAGATCCCTGATATAGGCAATGATAAGTCACAGGTTTGTTTTTTTTTTTTTGGTAAGGAAATGTAGTAGCAGATTTATTCATCATAGCCCCAAATTGGAAGCAACCAAAATGTCCTTCAACTTTTAAATGGTTGAACAAACTATGGTACATCCATACCATGGAATACTACTCAGCAGTAAGAAGGAATGAAAAATTGATACACAGAAACCTGAATGAATCTCCAGAGAATGATGCTGAGTAAGAAAAGCCAATCTCAGAAGGTAACATACTGTATGATTCCATTTATATAATATTTCTGAAATGACAAAATTATAGAGTTGGAGAATAGAACTGTGGTTGCCAAGGCTTAGGGATGTTGGAGCAGGGAGGGAAATGGCTTTGGCTATAAAAGGGTAGCACAAGGGATCTCTGTGATGGAACTGTTCTATATCTTGACTGTGGTGGTGGTCACATGAATCTACACATGTGACAGCATTGCGTATAACTGTAAACACACACAAACACACGAGTGCATGTAAAACTGGTGAAATCTTAATAAGGTTCGTGGATTGTATCAATGTTAATTTCCTGGTTGTGACAGTATTCTATAGTTAAGATGTGACCGTTGGAGGAACTGGTGAAGGGTGTGTGGGATTCTCTGTTTTATTTCTTACCGCATGTGAATCTACAATTAACTCAAAGTGAAAAGTTTCTTTTAGAAAATCAAGTTTCACAGAGCACTGAGTGTAGTATGATTCTGTTTCTTTCATGCCCTCAAAAGGATACATTCATGTATATGTACTTATATAGGCATAAAAAAATTTTGAGAAGGCCACACAAGACAGTTAATAGTCGTAGCTTTGTGGGCCTGTGGTTAATAAGGAGACCTACTTTTCACTGTACATCCTTTTATATGCTAAATTATTTTAACAATATGCATATTTTATTTTTAATTTTAAAGGAAAATTAGTTGAAGCAAATAAATTGTTGTAGTCACTGGAATCAGATATGCCACGTTATCATTGGAGTACTGGCATCTGATTCGTCTTCCTTGGCTGCACTCTGCACAGGAATGAACACTTGCATATACATAAAATATTTCCGGAAAACACTGTTCCCAGTGGCCACCATTAAGGAATGGCGTGGTAAGGAAAATAATGTGGCCTCAAAGTTGTCCATCTCCTGGGCTTCCCTGGTGGCGCAGTGGTTGAGAGTCCGCCTGCCGATGCAGGGGACACAGGTTCGTGCCCCGGTCCGGGAGGATCCCACGTGCCGCGGAGCGGCTGGGCCCGTGAGCCATGGCCGCTGCGCCTGCGCGTCCGGAGCCTGTGCTCCGCAACGGGAGAGGCCACAACAGTGAGAGGCCCGCGTACCGCAAAAAAAAAAAAAGTTGTCCATGTCATAATCC